ATAATATTTTCATACCAAAATCCCACTTGTACACATAGCTGGTTTTTACAGTTCAGGATAAAATACCTACGAGAAATACCCAACTGGTTTAAAAACTGGCTTTATACATGGGGACCTTTGCCTGATATACTTCTTGGTTCGCTTAAATAATTGAAACAAAAATTTTTTGAGCCCAACTATTTGGGGTTGGTTATGCAAATCCTATCTCACCATTGAGCTCTATCAATGGTCATATGTTTTCTCCCTACTTCCATCCATGTCCTTTGGGGCCTTCCCTCTGCCCTTTGAGAGAATTGCACTTAAACCAAATCACCCCCCCCAAAGGGTGTTGTTCTAGGTCGACACTGCACATGAGCAGACTGATAGATTTCGAGAAAGTACATATGGTTGAGAGAGAAACAAGGAGAGGAATGGAATGTTTATCAAATTCTCATTAACCAAAAAATGAAACCTAATAGGGTTTATATAAAATGTATATTTTGTTTTAAACCAACCCCTAGAGAGATATAAGATGATAATAGAGGACAAATAACACCATACAAAATTCTACATTTTATTATATATACACTATCCTCCCCTCCAAGCTGATGCAGTCATGAGTAAAGCATTAGCATGTGATGTTTTCAAGTGACTAGTTTGGTGAAGATATCGGCTTTTGCACAGTAGAAAAAACATAAGGGAGAGATAATGTACTATCAAGGCAGCGATCATGAACATAGTAGCAATCCACATTAATATGCTTTGCTCGCTCATGAAAGACTAGATTACATGCAATCTTAGTCGTAGTCGCACTCTGGTAATACCATTATCCCTAGTCCAACTGGTAATTCCTTGGTACTTGAGGATGTCCATCATGTTCCCTACCTTCCACTTGATTTGATAACCTTTGGGCAATTAGTTGACAATAAGTGTATCTCATTTTTTAATAAAGTTCATGAAATGTAGTACCAAACAACCAGGACGGTGATTGGGAAAGGCACTAAAAAGTGTCAGCTCTTTAAACTTTACTTCAACAAAGCTCCATCCCACCAGTCAAAAGCCCTACCAGTTTGCCATATTTTCCCTTCTCCTTATGACATAAGCTAATCAAATTCTCTCTGGTATGTTTGGCATTGTCAGTTAGGTCATCCACATTTTCAAAAGATGTTATCTCTTTTGATTTTTGGACTTTCACTTGTTGTCTTTTCCAATATAAAGGTTGACAAAAATACTTTTTGTGAGAGTAATAATGTATGTATAATAAAATGAATAATTTTGTATGTTTTCTTTCTCTTTTATTGTCATTTTACATTTCTATAGGGTTAATTTAATCTAAACCAAAAAATACATTGTATATAAATCCTATTAGGGTTTCATTCTTGATTAATGAGAATTTGATACAAATTCCATTATTCTCCTTGTTTCCCTCTCTACCATATTTACATTCTTGAAATCTATCATGGTATCAAAGCACTGAAGATTTAATCATTTCTTCACCTGCTACTACTCGTGCAACTTATTTATTGATTCATCTGTTACTGCTCACAAATCATCACATTTTTTTGTGAAGGTCAATTAAAGTTTAGATTTTAAATTTACCCTTATCAAGCTCTATAGTAAAGAGACAAAACCATCACTGTGGGTTTCCACTTCTGCCCACGTCATCGATCATTCTTTTCAATCTCTTTTGCTCATTGTTCCTTTTGCTCATGACCGAGAGAGAGTAGCGCATTCGTTATTATTATTATTGTTATTGTTATTGTTATTGTTATTGTTGTTGTTGTTGTTGTTGTTGTTGTTGTTGTTGTTGTTGTTGTTGTTCTTGTTGTTGTTGCTGTTGTTGTTTATCATTATTATAATAACAAGCAGGGCCGAACTTTGCTTCACCCTTCCTTTTGCGCTCACTCACAAGTCTCATCACTTTTCAAACCTCTCTCCCTTCTTTTGATATATATTCACTTCTCGCATCATTGTTATTACTTTCCCCTTTCACCCATCAACCATTATTATTCATCAACCATTTATTCTTTTGATATCAAACTGTTCACGTCATTATATCCATTTCCCCCTCTTTAATATGAAACGTCATTCCTCACTCATATCTCTCTCAATTCCCCAAAAAAAAAACTCACTCAATTTAGATTTTTTTTTTCTTTCAGGGGATAAATTCTTCAAATAAAATACATACAAAATTACACACTTTACAATATATATATATATATTATTACAAACCACCGAAGTCTACTTTCTCTCATTTTATCGCCTATTGGAGCTACCCCTAAGTTTCCTTGAATTGTTCATTTTGAATTCTATCATTCCTTGTCTTGTCACTTATCCATCTTAGTATCATCATCTTAGCTACACTCATTCTATAGATATCTTGTCCCTTAACCACCTAACATTTCGTCGCATAAAATATAGCTGGTCTTATAGAACTGAAGGAAACATCTCCTTCAGTTTCATTAGATTGCAACAATCTCCAGATGCACATCTTAATTTCATCCACCCAGCTCTAATTCTATG